CTCTGATGATCAGTGATGTTGAGCATTTCTTCATATGTCTCTTTTATTGGCCAGATTCTTGATGCGGACAGACCCTGCACAATATGCACTGAGGGGTAAGGAGCCTGCAGCCAGGGTGGGTGAGCTACTGCAATGGCAGCAGGTCCCCGCGGGGCAGAGGGGGTGGGGAGCCCTAGAGGCTGTGTAACCAACTGAAGCAAGAGGAAGGGACCCTGAGAGGCCTTTGTCACCACAGTGTCTCAGTGAGGCAGCGGCTGAGACAGAGGCCCTGCTCTTTGTGTGGTGAGTGCCCAGGCCATGGTCAAGCTTCTGAGCAGAGCTGTGGCCTTCTTCTTGGGGAGGACGACCTTTGCAGAGGGTAAGTACCTGAGGCAGCCAGGGCCCTTCCAGGTACCCTCTGAGACCCTTCGTTCCCCATGCAGTGACCCTCCCCAGAGGGGCTCCCCAACCCCTGGTCTGGTGGTTGGCGGTGTGGAGGGGGAGTGGGTGGGGAGGTGGCTCCAGCTCGTGTGTGCATAGGGGAGTCCCCAAGTGCTAGAGTCCTAGTGCCTCCCCCCAACCCCCACCCCCTCAGCGGGGCCTGCATCCACCCAAGCCCCAATCTCTCCTGTCCAGTCAAAGTGTCCAAGGTGGTGACAGAGAAGGCCCGTGGGGGTGCTTCCCCCCGCCCTGCATTTCCCCAGAAGTTCATGCCACAGATTCTTTTCCATACTTCCAGTAGAGTGTGCCACCCTGATTAGAGGGTGCATTTGGCTTTGTTTCACAAATATGGGTGTATTTGACACCAGGTGGACAGTCATATATTTGTTGTTCCTAGAAGGGCAGGGGCTGTGTTTATTCCTTGATTCAGTTGGGATGATCATATGGAGTTTTCTCTTTCTATTACTTTTCTCTTGCTGTCTTAACAAATTAGCACACATTTATGAAGAAAATGTATCATCTTACAGTCCTGTAGGCCAGAAGTTTGGTATGGGTCTTCCCAGACCAGAATCATGGTATTTATTGGCAGGCTCCGTTCTTCCTGGAGATTCTACAGGTTAATCCCTTTCCTGTTCATTTGGCTATTGGCAGAATTCAGTTCTTTGTGGTTGCAGGACCCAAGTCTCATTTTCTTGCTGTGCGTAAACTGAGGGCCATTCCCAGGTCCTAGAAACCACCACCTTTCTTCATCTTCAAAGTCATCAGTGGTGGCCTGAGTCTTTCTCACATGGCATTTCTCTCACCCACTCTTCTCCCTCTCTCTTCCACTGTTAGCAGTTTATGTGATGAGATAATCCAGGATAATCTCTCTATTTTAGGTCAACAGATTAGAAACCACACAATGTCATCTGCAACTGTAATTCCTTGTAACAGTGTATTCTCAAATTCTGGGGATTAGGACACAGGCAGCTTTGAGGGACCATTATTCTGTCTACTACACTCTCCTTTCTGGTTAGTATGTATGCCATGTCGCATGATTGAATTTTAATTGATAAAACAACCTTGCTTTCTTGGGGTGAACTTCATTTAATTGCAGTGTGTTTCTCTTTCAATATACTGCTAGATTAGGCAAATGCATTAATAATGTGTGGCGCATTTATACAATGGGATTCAACGGACTATTTGAAGCCAAGTGAACAGATCATGTATCTGTTGCCTCTCAGAGGCCAGGGGCCGTATTCATCTTGTTCACCTTCGGATTCTAAAACCCTGCTGAGGATATGGCACTGAGTGGATGACTCAGGGTACAATTTGAAGGTATCATATTGTTGGTGGGAATCTGGTAAATGTTAAAAAGGTTTTCTGTGGGGTCTCATCTGGGCCTTAAGGGCATTCATAATTTTAATCCTAAACAAACAAACAAACAAACAAAAAACTCCCATCAGAGAAATTGTAGTATTATCAAGTCCATTTTATAGCTGTGTCAAAGGGATAGGAGCAGGGATGGGAGGGCAGGTGGCTAGTCTTACCCAGAGGAGGAGCCCTGCAGCCATTTCCTGACCTCCGTGCTCCAGCCCCTGAAGGGCTTCTTCCCATGGGAGTAAATTCACAGTGTGCTCAGGATGGCAGTTTGGAAGAGCATCCTCTTTGGTCAGCATTCCTCTTCCAACAGGGACTCAGCCTTCCTGGTGCCAGAGTGTACAAGCTGCTTCTCTGCCAGTGGCGTTTGAACCCCTGCAGAGATAGCTGAGTCCTAGCAAAGTTTGTTATAGAAGACTGCTACTGCTTAACCCCCTTTTCTCCCCCTTTTTCCTAGTAGGGTAGGTCACTGAGTATAAGATCATGGTCTGTGTTTCTGCTACAAAGGTGTGAAGGTGGCCTGGTGAAAGCCAGGGCCCACGAGAGGAGTGAATTAGAGTATAATGGAAAGGCTGCCCAGCAGGGTCAGAATTTATGCAGGAGGGCTGTGCAAATCAGCAAATATACTGAGGATACGTGGAGGTTGGTTTCTCCTGCCAGAAGGCACTATAGACATGTGAAGGTAGAAAGTGAAAGAAATCTGGCGTGATCCCTGTGCTCTTGGACTGGCCCTGAAGGTACTGGTGTAATCTCATGGTTTTCAACAGATATAGAAATAAGATCTTGGCTCCTAAATACTATGTTCTCCAATAAGAAGGATCAGGAATTCTTGGAGAAATGGCTGAATAAATAGCATTTTCAATTTCCAACAAAACAGATCAAAGAAACATGCATGTCAACGAGGGTTTATACTGATAAAATATATCTATTTGGAAGATATACAGTCAAAATTTTATGCATCCAACACCATCAGTGAACATGGAGGGAAAGGAGACAGTGACTAGAGACAGACCAGTCCAGACGAGGGCCTGGGCGGGGGGCAGTTTAAATAAGCTAGGGAACTAACATTTGAGGCTTGTGCTGGGAGGTTGCAAGAATCAAGTTTGAGTAGACACCTTAACTTGGTTCAGTCATTATACTGTCTAGTCACAGCGCCTTACTCTCTCAAGGCTCTGTCTTTGAAGCGGCTCTGGCTATGAGAATGGTGGGCAGAACGTACTTTCCAAAGACAGAGGTAAGGAGTCTCTAATTGCCCAGGTCTAGCTCAAGGGTCAACTGGCGGTCGCATCTTCTCGAACTCCTCCGACAGATGACTGTGGAATTATATTAAAATGATGGCAGCAAACCATCCATTGCAGTGCCTGGATTCTGCAGGGTCGCATACATGCCAGTTCCCTTCATTTGATTTCTTCTCCTCAGAGTGATAAGGCCTGAGGACAAATGTTGAATAGACATCGTCCTTATGAATGTCCACAACCACCACACATGCTCCTTACTAGAAACGCATGAGTGCACGAGGCTGGCCTACCCACACAGTAGTTGGTGGAGGAGCTGGGCTTGGGGCACAGGTCTTAACCTGAGAAGGGTATGCCTGCCTGCCTTCCTCTCTAGCTAGGAAGGGTGATCCTCCCTCATGAGAGGGTCTTGGTGCTCTGGTCTGATCCTCTCTCTTCTTGGTTGTGCCAGGCTACATGATCCCTGGAGTGGGCGTGCAACCATCAGGGACTGAACAGGACCATCTGGACAAAGGGGAGGGTAGCTCAGGGCACTAGCAGGGACTTGGGTCCATCCCTCCTGTGGTGGCAGATGTTGGAAGGGTCTGTGTTGTCAGGGTGCTTTGACCCCTGGGGAGCTCATGGTGACAGGTGAGGTGTGCTCCCAGGGCCCTTGCCCAGACTGTGCTACTCAGTGTGACCAAAATCGTGTCCTCAGGGTGGCTTTGTTCTGGGGCCTGCGGTCCTGCTTTTCTCTATTCTAGCCACTGTGCTCATCCCCAGGCCTCCTGCACTCAGCTCTCTGCCTGCCTGCCACACTCAACCGTGCAGCAGCCTCAGAAAACCTGGCCTGGCTTCTCTGGGGAGGCACTGGGAGTAGAACTTCGACGGGACAGTTGGGGGTCTAAGGTGGGTGGGGAGGGAAGCTTCTTTCCCTGTGGTTTGTCTTCTCCAAAACTCTGCACCCACCTGGCCGGCAGAAAGGCGATGGGGACCTTGCCACCTGCTGCTGCAGAGGGGCTTCTGGTGAAACAAAATGATCTGCAGACAAGTTCATCTCACTTCCTCCAGTCCACCCTTGAGGCTCAGGTGAATTAAGTGCTTTTCAAAACCAGGCTCTAAAATGAAGACAAGACTTAGGTATTTGGTTATTCAAACAAATGTTGTGAGTGGGACAATTGCCACCTGTGGGGCCAGGCCTATGCTGCTGTCTTCTCCTCATGGGGTCAGTGGTCCAGGTCAAGTGGAGTCTCTAGCATCTCCTGAAAAGACTCTACCTGCTTAAGGCCCTCTGAGGGTGCTCTCCTCCCTCAGCTCCTGGGCATCAGTGGTGATCTCACCACTGGCCCCTTGTTCCTCCAAGGCTTTTGCCCCACACAGAAACAGGAGGCCTCCAGTTTTATTTTATTGAACGTAAGGACTTTGTAAAACATACTTAGACAATAATTTTTGACAACACCAGAAAAATGAACATTTCTCTGACCAGTACAGGGTTAACACACATGGAAAAGTGAAAGTCACCTTATTCAGGTTGGTGTCTCTGATTTTGTAGAATTTCCACTGCCTGGAAAACAGACTGCAAATAAATAAAGTGCACTGAGAGCCAGTCAAGCAGCCAGGACCCAGTGGGGTTGTGGGGAGGTGGGAAAGCAGAAGCAGCTCAGACTACTCATGGCCAAAAGGGTAAGAAGAGCAGTGGCAGGAACGCAGGCTAAGGACCAGTTCCTGGCCCCTTCCCCAGCCATTCCCTTTGAGCAGAAACAGCCACAGTCAGAGCCACAGAGGACTTCTTGTGGCCCTCTGTATGGGGAGGAGCTTCTTGGCAGGGGAGCAGCAGGTCTATGAGGCGGGGGCCCATGAGGCTCAGACCACATTTCTCCCTGTGGGACACAAGCACACATTCAGTGAGGAGCCTCCCTAATGCCATTCTCAGGCCTTCTTCCTCCCTGGCTGGCTCAGGAAGAGGCTGGAGCTGGGGATCGAGTCACCTGGAGGGTGAGACCTGGGCTTGAAAGGGGCACATCTGTGTATCATCACCAAGGAGGCCCCTGGTCCTCCTCCCATCTTATACAGCCCGTGTTGCTCTCCTTTCTCTGAGACTATCCCCGGAGGTCTATGGATGGAGGCAACAGGCTGGCAGGCTCCCAGAAGTGGTCCTGGGTGAACAGGGTTGGAGTGAAGGAGGGGTCACCAGGACCAGGGGCTCCCAGGTGACTTGGCACAAGGAAGGAAGCCATCAGGCTCTGTCTTTGGGAAACTGGAGGGGGCACGTAGGAGCCTTGGTCCAGCCTTAGGCCCCAGTCCCTGGGGTGAGACAGGAAGAGTACTGCACCCAGGACCCAGGCTCCAGCTGGGCAGCTGAGTAGGGCACATGTTGTGAGACTGGGCCACTTGGTCCCTGGGGCTGACCACATTACTGTGGTTTTCAGTCCCAGGAAGTCTGAGTACTTGGGCCAAGAGCAACCAGTATCAGAGCAGATGTGGGACCTGGGGTGGGTGGTGGGGTCCAGGGTCTCTGCTGGCTCCCCCGTGGGCTGTTCCTGGCCATGCTGATACACCAGTCAACAGCACATCCCGGGCCTCGAGGACCAATCCATGCCCATCTAGAGGACAGTCTCCTGTGTGATATTGGGCATGCGGGAGCTGAGCCTGGGGACAGAGAGATGGGAGTCATGCATGGTTCCCATCCCCCCCCCCCACTCCAAGTTTATTCTTTACTCTCCTGGTCACATCATGTCCACACCTACCCAACCCAAACTGAGAGATGTGTGCCCAATTGTTGAGGGGCACTTAGTTAAGCCTGGGGTGGGGATAGGAAGACCTGGCTCTGTGGGTGAGGACTTCAGCTACCCAGGGGATGCTGGGACTCATCTCTCTTGTGCCCATCTCAGCTCAGACTGTCCTCCTGGTCTTTCCTGTGACCACCCATACCAATCCAAGGAAAGCTATCTCCCCACATTCCCTACCCTGGACTTCTGTCTAGCCCCGCTAGGAGCTCTGTGATGCTCTGCCCCATCCCACTGGGCCAGGTCCTTAAGAAGAGTGGAGGTGGGTAGGGGAGTGCAGGCCTAAGGGAAGAGTTAGCTTTACCACTTTCTTTGTGTGTGGCAAGGGCAAACCTGAGCCCCTCTCCCAGAACCCCAGTTTCTCCTGTCAGTAGGCAAAGAGAATAGAACTCCCTCATGGTGAAGCTAGGATATCTCAGTGCCCAGGTAACATGTTCCTGTCCTTCCCCATGCCAGAACCAGACCACTGGGTTTCCTCACACCTCAGGGCCTCTGCCTGGAAGGCCCTTCATCTCCTCCTCAGCCAGGCCCTTCACTCAGCTGCTATCAGGAAGCTCTAGGGCCAGAGGGGGCCCTTGGGCACAGATTTGATTCTTGATGAGGCCAGAGAAGGTGTTAGTCACCAGCTACAACACTGGTTCCTGGAAAAAAGAAACAGAGACTTGAGAATTGCCTTCCTACCCAGAGAAGTTCCTGGTTCTCCAAGTGTTGCCTTCTCTACAAGTCCCTTCTCCATCTGCTCTATCCACCCCAGCCTGAGAACTTCCCTCTGCTCAAGGAAACCCACATTTTCCCAGATGTTTTGGGTTCACAGCACACTCCTGGAATTTGTCTGGGCCGAAAGATGGCATTCTGTGGCACGGGGAAGGCTGGAGATGGAAGAAGAGCGAAACTGGGGTAGGGCTAGGGAAGAAGGCATCTTTCCACTCTTCCCTGTCTCCAAATTCATCCTCAGAGAGGAAGGAGGAGGGCAAAAGGGACAGCAGGAACAGAGTGCAGGGCTGCAGAGAGCCCAGGGGCCTGAGGGCTGGGGAGGGGACAGACCTGGGGTTCCAGGCTGCCTACACAGGAGGGTGGAAGGGAAGTGTGGCAGCACCTTTTCTCCTATAGGGCCTTCCCATCGGCCACCCCAGCCCATTTTCCTCCATTCCCTCTGGTTCAGGTGACACCTCCTGGGCCTCTGGGGAAAGGGGGGAGGTGGACTGGGCTGTTGGCAGGAGGGGACACCCAGGTCTCCATGGGTGATGGGATGAACCTCTGAGATGCTTATGCCTAAGCTACAGCCACCCCTCACCCCCAGTTTGGAATCATGACAAGGGACTCAGAAGAGCCTGTGGCTGCCCTGCCTGTCTCCATTGGGCTCCGCAGCTCTCTGGGCTGGCATCCTCGCGTCCTTTTCATATTTCCCTGAATCTCCAAGGGGCCTGGACGCCTAGATGTCATGGCAACCGCCTCCCTCCAGCCCAGAGGTCCAAGCTCTCTCTGGCAGCCTACCTTCTTGGTTAGGGCCAGTCAAAGCTGGTCCCTGCCGCAGCAATTCTTCTTTCTGGTTTCCCCATTCGGCCAATGCGAGGCAACAGGTCTGCTGTACTCAGATAATTTTCTCGAGCTTGAAGGAAAGGGCCTGTTTTGTGAGTTTTTGTGCAACTCGGCACTGGTCGCAATGCGTGTGCGCAGGTCACGGCTGGGTCCGGGGTTCATTGGCCTCGATGGCTTAGTGGTCAGCGTCCTCTCGTGCAGCTCTAGGCTCCAGGGGCCCGGGCTGCCCCGCCTTCTTTCCACGCTGCGCCTGGGAGACCTGGGCGACCCGATTGTCCTCCATGCAGGCGGGTGGGCGCGAGACCCTCCTGCGGGGCCGCTGTAGCCACAGGCGCTCACTCAATCCGCACCTGCAGGCGGACGTTGAGCATCACCGAGGCCACGACATAGAAGTAGGGGAAATTCATGCGCAGCCGCCAGGCCAGGTCAAAGAAGGTGAGCAACGTGCGCGTGAGCCCCTTGCAGAAGGCGCCATAGGAGCCGCGGGACATGGTGGAGCGCGACAGTCGCAGTGCCAGGCAGGATAGGGCCGCCATCGCCGCCGCCACCGACAGAGCTGCAGAAGCCGTCATAGGCCTGGCAGTCACAGATCCCGCCAAACCCCAGGAGCAAGAACCGAAGGCAGGTGGGCGTGAGATTGGGGTACCCTCCAGCCCCGCCCTCGGTCTCCTCCCTGCTCGGCTCCGGTGGCGGCAGCAGCAGTGGTGGCGGCAGCAGCAGCCACTGTTCTTCCTCAGCTGCCCAAGAACAGCTCTGCCCAATCCAGTTTAGCTCCGCCCCTATCCTAGCCTTGCCCCTTACTGAGAGCCACAATGCTGCTACTGCAGATATAGCCCCGCCCACGGCACCAGCCCCAAGGACAAACAGCACAGGTGATGCCCCTGGGCCTGCAATCCAAGGTCCTAAAAGCAGAGCTAGAGGGCCTGAGCTAATTGGAAGGCGCTGCTCCCTTGGAGGGGTGTGGAATGCTGGGGTGCTGGAGTGCCTGGGGTGCTGGAGTGCCTGGACAGCTGTGCTGATTCTGAACAGAAGGTCCATCTGAAGGTCCCTCCACAACCCCTATTGTTCACACCACCCCTATTGTCTCATGTAGAGTTTTTGTAGCTTTAGGAATATCATTTTACTACGGACTACAACTCATCTATACAAGGGAGTTAGCCAATATCACAGAAACTCGAAATTTCTGAATGATTTTACCAACAAGTTGTAGCCTGAGTCACAAAACCAGGAGGAGGCCTTGCTAGGACTGGATCTCAGATCTGCTGAGCAATGCCCCTTCTCTTTACAGCCAGCCCTATAAAATTATCAGGAATAAGAAGGAATACTATTAAGAAAGAGGCAAGTGGGGAAGTGAAATATTCTGATTTGGTCTGAGTCATCTTGAAACCAGATCCTCTCCATAGGTTGCCTTGAATTGCTCTGGACATTACCCTTCTCTCATTCAATATTGCTTCAAGTATTTATTGAACACCTATTATCAACAAGGCTTTGTTTTTAGGAGCTGAAAGCAAACCAGAGAATGGCAACAAAATCCTTGCCCTCAAGAAGCTAATATTTAAGTTGGGGGTGACAGACAACACATTCGTAAGTAAATCAATAGATAAGATTTTTCAGCTAGTAACCAGGGACATAAAATACAGGAGTGTGTGATAGAGTGTTTCACAGTAGAAGAGAACTCTTTCAAAGAATCTTGTCAGGGAAAGCAACTCTAAGGAGGTTACATTTGCACTGCAATCTGAAGAACTATGGGAAGGAAATAGCTGTGAAAAGCTAGAGGAAGAGCCATCCAGGTTGAGGGAACAGCAATTGCAGAGGAATTGATGTTGATTCTGCTTTGGGACTGTTGCTGAAGTCTTTGCTTAAGCTCTTTTTAGAGGTGATTACATATATATTTTCCTGCGAAGAACGATGCAGATCAATAAGATAAGTGGATACACATGATAAAATTGTATGCTATAATTGAAAGCGAGAGACTAGATATACACATAGTACATCTGCAGAAAGTAAGAAACAGGATGAAATCTATATAGGAAAGCACCATTTTGGTAAAATGAAAGTGTGTGCACAGGACATTAGAAGTCACATTTTTTTTTTTTTTTACTGTAGGAAAAAGAAGTTACAAATAAGCAAGGAAGAAAGTAAGAATGAACCTTGTGTTGCTGAACCACACTTTGAGTAGAAGTTTCAATAGTCTACCATTTTACGAATCATTCATAATTTATGTATCTATGCAGCCTCTCTTCCTAGAGTTATTGGGTGACTACTATATGCCAGGCTGGCTGGGCTATTGATAGACATATGGATTATTTCCAGTTCTTGTCTGCCAATGTACATAGGCAAGGGTTTCCCTATGATATATACTCAAGAGTGGAATCCTGAATCAAAATGTGTGTGCATCTTGAACACTTACCAGCTAATTACAATTTGTTTTCCAAAGTGTCAGCAGCAATCATATACCTTCCATCAGTGGATAAGAGTTGCAACACCTATTCTGTCCTATTATTGATTAAAATTTTTGCCAGTCTGAGACATGTGAATTGATATGTCATTGTGTATTTAATCTACATTTGTCTGGTTACTGATAAAGCTGAGTATCTTTTCAGTGTCTGTTGGCAATTTGGTTTCCTCTTCTATACTTCCTCTTTCAAATCTTCTGTCCACTTTTCTATTGGACTGTTTGGTAGATGATTGTTACATCGACTTTACACCTAGCATGCTTGCTAAACTCTCTTATTAATCCTAATTATTAATATCTGGCTATTTGTGCTAAGTAGATAATCCTATCATATGTAAAAAGTGACAGTTTTCTATGTTTTTTTTTCCAACTTTATATTGATTTTTGTTGCATTACAAAGCCTAGTTAAAATTTTCAGTCTAATGGGCTTTCTTTGTCTTGATCTTGATCTTAAAAGGGATGCTTTCGAAGTCTCATTCTGGATAGTTCCTACTCTAAATATCTATCTCACTAACACTCTAACCTCCTTCAAGTCCATCCTCAACTATTATTTTTCTCATGAAGCTTACTGTGACTACTACCCTATTCTGAAATGCAACTTGAAACCCCTCCCCAGCACTCCAGAACTTCCTTTATTGGTATATTTTTCCATAGCACTTATTAATTTCCAACATACTATACATTTTATTTATTTATTGTTTTATCATATACCCTTTCCTCGAGCCATGAGAGTGTTAGTTCTACATGGACCAAAGTTTTTGTCTTTGTCTTCACTGATTTATTCCAAGTGCTCAGGAGAGTATGTTAGTCAGAACTCAATAAAAATTAATTAAATTAATGAATACATGGAAAATATTTAGCAGAGTAACTGGCTGGTATAATGATGTAAGCATTCAAAACATGGTAGTAGTGATTAAGAAAGAATCCCATGATAAATTACCACTGGGATCTATAAAAGGTATTGGCTATCGCTAAAATGTTACATGCCCATAAGAACAACACACACACGCACACACACACATACACACACACACAAACACACTTCACCCAAGCAACAGGTAATGATTTCTGGGTTTTGTTTTCATTTGGTCCAACTTGAATGCCCATAACCCCTTGCAGGCAAGGTTCCAGACAAAAATCTACTCTGAAAGGCACCGCTGCAAGATGTGGAGGCCAGAGGGATGCACTGTTTCTCTGGCAATGATGGTGGCAGGCTAGTGCAAGCTTAAGGGGTGGGGGTTCCTGCAGCTTTCTCAGACTCCACATTCTCCTGTCAGTCTCCAGTTCTGGAGCATCAACCAGGAAAGGTCCCACTTTGGCACATCTTCCTGCACTGTTCTGCATTATTTTCTCTTCAACTGACTATTCTTGACTAATCCAAGGAGTAACGCAGACAAGGTCCTGTCTTCACTGAATTTCTAATAAGGGGGATATGGCCAAGGGAATAGGCAGTTACCATATAGTGTGAAGTGTCTATCAGTCAGTTTGTCAGTCAGACAGTCAATAAAAATTGGTGAGGGCTTACACCAGAGTCCCAGACATTGTGTTAGGAAATATGGAGAAATGAGGCTTGGTGTCTGGAGGAAAGAGATGTCAAACAAATGAGGAATGAATAAATGATTCAAGGCAATGTGTGCTCATAAGAGACTTTTGGGGGCTGGTGTATCTGAGCACCTATAGGATGGCTGGGCACCCTGACAGCTGATCCAGTATAAAGAAAAGTTTGCCAATTCAAAGGCCCACTGGGGTCTTTGGTCTTATTGTGAGAGCAACTAAATAGTTTTATTAGGTAAGACCCAGTTCAGAAATTGCGGAGTAAGGACAAGGAAAGATTTAAAATCAATACCCTTTCACCTTAAGAAACTAGAAAAAGAAGAGTGATATAAGCCCAAAACAACCAGAATGAAAGAAATTAATCATGATTAGAACAGAAATAAATGAAAGAGAGAATAGGAAATCAATAAAACCAAAAGTTCATTCTTGGAAACGATCAAGAAAATTGATAAACCTTTATGTATACTGACCAAGAAAAAAGAGACAAGATTCAAATTACTAAAATCAGAAATGAAAGAGAAGACATCTCTTTCTTATCTCTATCTTTAAAAAGGAGTATAGCCCATCTGGTATGGCTCAGTGGACTGAGCATCATCCCATGGACTGAGAGGTTCCAGTTCAGTTCCTGGTCAGAGCACGTGCCGGGGTTACAGGCTCAATTTCCAGTAGTGGGCATGCAGGAGGAAGCTGATTAATTGATTAATAGATCTCTCTCTCTAAAAAAAATCAATAAAAGACCAACAAAAAAAAAGGAGTAAAAAAGGAGTATAAGAAAATGTTATGAATAATTATATGCCAAAATATTAGATGAAATCATAATTCATTAAAGAATAAACAGACATTGAATTGCCTACTTTAAATAAGTGATTACTATGGTATATAAATTATATCTTAATGAAGGTCCTATAAAAATTAAAAATAAAACTCAAACCTTAAAAAAATAAATAGAAAATCTTAATAGACATATAACAAGTAAGGAGATTAAATTAATAAGTAAAGCACTTCACCCCCCCCCCACACACACACACATTAGCTGAGGTCTAGAGTGATTCCCTGGTCAATTCTACCAATCACTTAAAAAAGAATGAATACCAATCTTTTTCAAACTCTTCCAAAAAGCAGAAGAGGAGAGAATACGTCCTAACTCATCCTATGAGAGTAATCTTATCCCAATACAAAAACTCCACAGAAACATCACATGAAAAACTAATCTCAAACCAGTGTTCCTTATGAATATAGAAACAAAAATCCTCAAATCAATTCAGCAACATATAAAATAATTGTATACAATGACAGTATTAATTGGCTAGGACCGCCATAACAAAGTATCACAGACTGGGTGACTTAAACAAGAAAAAATTATTTTCTCACAACTTTATAGGTTAGATGTTCAAAATCAAAGTGTCAGCAAGACAGATTTTTCTCTGAGACCTCTCTCTTTGGCTTATAGATGGTCATTTTTTCCCTGTGTCTTCACATGATTTTTCTGTTATTTATATCTGTGTCAAAGTGTCCTCTGATAAAGACAGTAGTGATATCGGATCAGGGACTATCCTAATAACC